AGCTGTCTTTTGAGCTGTGACTGTCCATAGTGTGGAGTGGATGGCTGTGGGAGAGCGGAAAATCATCCGCTGACAGGCGAGTATCTCCCATGGGCTTCGGGAAACTGAAATATATTGAGGAAGCGGTGGACAAGGATCCGGTGTCTGCTGAGATGGCGTTAAGTCCATAGTAGTGGCGACTAGGACATTGTCGACTAAGGCTTTAAGGAGGGCGTGATTCACTGAGCGTCCTCATGCCATAAGACCGAGCTCAATGGTACTGAGCAAGAAACGTCCGATGGCATCTTTGCAGGAGACTAGCTGAGTTGCCTCTGCTTCTTGGCTGCGAGAAGTGGCAGGCATAGCAGTAGGATGGGTGTGAGGGTCTTGGTTCTCCGGGGCAGCTGCGTTTACACCGCTGCCGATCGTAGGAGAGAGGGAGTCCTGGTGATGAAGCATCTGGAGGCAGCGACTGCAGGGAAACTTTCTGCAACAGTGTTGTCCATGACGTCTGTGTCAGAGTTGTCTTGTGTTGGTCTCATTGTCGTCAGAAGAGTTTTGCAACTGCAAGAGTCGTCTGTCCCGCCGTTGAGCAGGGGTCATTCTGGTACACACACACACACACACACACACACACACACACACACACACACACACACACACACACACACACACACACACACACATACACATATATATATATATATACATATATAATATATATATATATATGATATATATATATATAATATATTATATATATATATATATATGTATATATATACATATATATATGTATTATATATATGCATATATATATATATATATATATATATATATATATATATATATATATATTATATATATATAATATATTATATATATTATATATATATTATATATATATATATATATATATATAATATATATATATATATATATATATATATATATATATATATATATATATATATATATATATATATATATGCATTAATATATATACTTTCATCAATAAATCTAGTTTGTGCATTGTGGGCTTTTCTACCTTAGTATCAACACGGTAGAGTTTTTTTCCATTTCATATAATATATATATATATATATATATATATAATATATATATATATATATATATATATATATATTAATGCATATATAGATATAAAACACTGTTTATATTTTTTACATGCAAATAAAAGAAATAAAAGAAAAAAAAAACGGAGGATGAAAAGATCATAATACATATGGAGAAGAAAAAATCATGAATATAATAAGTATAGAAGTGAAAAAAGAGAAATACGAAAGAAAAAGAAATATCAGCAAAAACAAATAGATGAATAGATATTTCAGGAACTCCAAAGCAGGACAGGTTAAGAGAGAGGGGAGAGAAGAGAGAGAGAGAGAGAGAGAGAAGAGAGAGAGAGAGAGAGAGAGAGAGAGAGAGAGAGAGAGAGAGAGAGAGAGAGAGAGAGAGAGAGAGAGAGAGAGAGAGAGAGAGAGAGAGAGAGAGAGAGAGAGAAAGTGAAGGAAAGAAAAGGAGAAAGACTTTTCCATTTGGATTGGACACAAAAAGAAAATGTATAAGAAGAAGAAAGGAGAAGAGGAATACGAAAAAGGATGTGAAAACGGAGAAGATTAAGAAGAACTTGAACAAGGAACAAAATATATCACTTCCATTTCAAGAAGACAAAGAACTCACGGAAGAAGGAAAACAAAAGACGATGTCAATGATGATTAACAAGAACAATTTTCACTTTTCTTTCTTTTCATTTCCTGTTTAGGGATTTTTTAAAAGTGTTCGAGCATAGTTTGTGGCAGACACTTTGATATCTCAAATCTCAAAGGCAGCGTTGTTCTTTACACTTTTCACACACCGTCGATTTCGTTCTCTCTTTCCTTCCTTCGCAATGTCGTTCTCCGTTATTTGTCACTGAAATGAACCCGAAAGCGCACCACGAACCCTTTCGCTTCTAGCCTGACTGGTTCTCCGTTTTCTATATCTGTTGACCACTCATAGATGGCGCGCAACCAATGACGCGATAAAAAGCTATTGAGAAAGAGAATTTTGATCCTCATCCTTCTCTGAATGTCTATATAGGCCAAAAGCCGCGTCCAGTCGGCAGGCGGTCCAACATGGCCTTTCTTTCCGCAATACTGCCCGTGCGTATTCCAAACAATTCATTTTTATTTATTTTATTATTTTATTTAGTTATTTTTTATTGGTGAAAGCATAGTAAGTCCGTGTATATTTACTATTTTTGATGTTGAATGAAGTGCAGGCGAAAGAAACTGCAGGATCCAGGAACTGCAAGGTCTTCATCTGTGCTCTGATAACTAGCCTTCGTGCTTCTAACTTGGAAAGATAACAAACCTTCGTTAATAGCGGTGCACTTCATGCTTCCGTTTACATAGGATTTCATATTCGGTGGCATGGCCGTTACTAGCCTTTAAAAGCTTGCTATTTCTGCTCTGAAATTGCAGCCTAACTGGGGTTGGTATAGCTTTAATTGAAATTAAAGGCTTTTATAGTCCAAATAAAATTTCTTGGCATCTTCATTCCCTTGGCTAGTAAGTCGCAGCTAAATAGTTTTTTTAAGGTAATTTGGATAGTGGAAAGATATAAAATCTCAGATTTGTTTGAATGATTATCCAATCGTACTATCAAATGGCCTGAAACTTCACCGGCATTTAAATTCTATATGAAGGCTTTTTGATTTGCATGTTGGTAAGCCTCGGAATAAAGCGTTTCCAAAGAATCGCGCACTAGACTTGTACAAGATCGGTAATTTGTCGAAATGACTAATCGCAGGCATGTAATTGAGGTTCTTAATTTTGAATAATTGTTTAATATCGGTTAATGTAAGTGTACTAAGCAGTAGTATTTCCTACCGGCTATGAATGTATGAAGTGACTCTCCTCCCTAAAATGTACTGTGCATGGAGATGGTACCTTTGAGGGTGTGGATAACGGTGAAGTTGTTCAATATGTAATTTAATAGTCACAGGCTGATTAAATACTTTAATATTTAAGTAGCCGCCACTGCCTTCATATTAAGTGCTCATAAAAATAACTTTATAAAAAGTGACACGTGTGCGTGTTTACAGTACATTTT